CACTTCGAAACAGACTCCCCAAACATCTAGGCCTTTTAGTGATTTCTTCCTTTCCCAGACGTCTGCAGCATTATTGTGTTCATGACCCCTGTGGCATTTGTATTGACTAAACGTGCGGTATGAGCTCTTTGTTTTGCTTTGTTTCGATGGGTCTTTTTTTGGCCAGGCTGTAAGCCTCAAGGATAAGTCCCAGGTCTTCAGTTTCAGCATCTCTAGTGTCTAGAGAGAGAGAGAGAGGAGAGACACATGCCAGGCACAAAGTACTTTTGAGTATCCCTTTTGCTCCTCACCTTGGTGAGAAGGACCATACATGTGTTACCTCCTCTTTAAAGATGGAACCTAAGGGATTCTTCCAAGCTGACAAGACCAGCAAGGTAGAAAGCTTGGGCCCCAGGTCTTCTAAGTCCTGTGTTCCTTCCACTGCACAAAGGTAGTAAGAAGCAAATGCCACATTTATAGGGTGCACAATGAATGTCACGGGAGCCCAGAGGCAGGGGATTTTGTATGTTTGAGTAGTTAATGAAGGCTCCCCCGAGAAGGTAGAAAATCGAGCTACCTCTTGAAGGGTAGATTGGATGTGGAGAGGATAGCACAGGACTGACAAATGAGTTGATGGTGAGTGATGTGCCTGACCTGTGAGAAGACAGTAGGGCAGTTCCTGGGAGGCAAAGGGAAGTGCAGTGAGGGAGGTGGCACAGAGCAAAGTTCTGGATGGCCTTTGTGGGAGCTGTCCGAGTCTCTTCCCTTGCAGACCAGGAGTCGGGAGGTGGGTCACTAGGAGAACAGGCTTCCTCTTGCAAGATTACTCCTCAGCCCAGGAAGTAGTATTACCTTGAAGTGAGGAGCAGCGTGACAAAACTGGGGGCTGCTTCTGAGGACAAGGCGGGGTAAATGGGGGAGTAGGGATCCTTGTGAGCCCTGCACATTTCCCCCTGGATCTTCATTCCGATATTATCCAGTGAGGGCCCTGCCTCTCAGCTAAGAAACCTGGCGGGCCTGTAAACTCAGCTAATGGTACTCAACGGCAGGAGGACTCAGACTCTTAATTTGGGTTTCCAGCCCTCTTGGCTTTGCTTTCTGAAGGATGAGATTCAGCCTGGTTATAGAAGTCTCTAGGTTTCCATCTGTGGCTTGAATTGAGACCTTAAGGATTTGAGATTCTTACTCTCTTTTCTGAGTTATTCACTGCCATTAATAGTAGCCACCCATCTATGGCCTTGACTTTCTTTACCCATGATATTTTAGGATGGCAGCGATGCAGTCTCCCAGAGCTGGGCCTTCACAGTGGGCATGCCATTCCAGATAACTTTTGGGGAACTAATTCACAGCATGCCATGGGCTGCTGGGTCCCCATCTCAGAATATTAGCAGGACTGTCACTACTTTCTACCCTCTCTCAAAGGCAGATAACCATCATAGATAGTCCCCATTTCTCTACTTCTCTCACTTGCAATATGCTCTCCTAGCACCATATTCCCTACCAGTTAGGAACTTTTCAGTGACAAGTAATGAAAACTGGGTCTGTTCTAAGGAAAAAGAAAATGTCTTGAAAGAATGTTGGGGGCTCATAGAATCATGGGAAGCTAGACGATTCAGTTTGGGAAACAGAGAGGAACCAAAGCCCAAATCTGCAGAGCCAAGAAACAGTATCACAACCGTTTGATGGTTTAGAAGCATTGCAGGGTGTCGCTGTATCAATTCTGTTGTGTTTTTTCATTCCATATTCACAGCACAGCTTCTGAGTGCTAACTAGTTGTGGTATCTGATGAGCCCGGGTCAGGGCCCCACACGCTGGTGGGAGCAGGAGAGGGGATATCTGCCTCTCTAAGTTAGTGGGCAGGAAGGCACTCCCAACACAATATTGGGTCCCCAAAATGGGATGGGTACTACATCCTGGAGAGCTAAAAATAGCAAAAGTGGGATGGGTGGACTTACAGACAGGCTCTTAGGGGCGAAAAGAGTGAGCCAGAATTCCACATAAATGTGGTGTTGTGTATTTGTAAATTCTGGAAAAGAGCCACACATTGAATTTCTGATACACCTCAGGCAGCGTGAGGTATTGGGGCTACTATTGTTTGAATCTAGCTGGTCTGGCCTTCAAGGAGCATAGACTTGTGGGAAAACAAACAAGATTCTCCGTTACATTCTTGATATTCTGAGGCTCCTAGTAAAAGGTCCTTCCTTGGTGAAGAAAATAGATTGGACAGTTAGAAACATGGAGAGACCCTTAAATGTGTCTCTTTGGTCCCTATTCCCTTCCTACTGTCTAGAGGAAGGTTTAAAAAGAAGAAAATAAGAGTCTTATTTATCGATCAAGGAAAAAAGCAAGACAAAAAAGATGAAGATCAATCAGTTTTCTTAATGGCAAATGTTGTGGATGACAGGAAATGAAAGAGGAGAAAACAATGTGAATTATGTATATTTGCAGCCAGCTGACAGATGTGGGCTAAAGGCTTACCAGTTGAAGAACTTTCAAATCCTTTTCCACTAAAAAAAATTAAGATGGTCTCTTCTCAGTCCCCCGCAGGTACCCTTGGATCATTTTGTTCATTCATGCGTCGGGGATTTATTGGCATTTATTGAATGCCAGAGATTGAAAGACAAATTCCATTTCTCTGATGGCCCCGGGAAGTATTGTGGTAGAGAGTCTCCAAAGATAGTTTCCATTGATTCCTTTTGTTGTTACCCCTCCCCTTGAATCTGGCTGCCTGGTGACTTGCTCTGACCAATAAAATGCACAGAAGTGACGTGTGGCGGTCCCTACCCCAACCTTTAAGGGGCCTGGCAGTTTCTTCTGACTTCCCCAAAGCTGCCATGCTGCCAGGAAGCCCAGGCCAGCTCGGCGGCATGCTAAGGCCCCGGATGAGCCCGTGAAGCCTTCTTAGACCTTCCAGCTCAGCCCAGCCATGCTGAATGCAGCCGAGTGAGTGTGCCTAGTTGCTGCCACATAAAGCACAGCTGCCCGGCTGAGCCCAGTTGGCCCCCAGAGATCATAAACAGTGGTAGTTTCAAGCTGCTGTTTCCATGGTGGGTTTTGCAGCAACAGATAACTAGAGCAAGTAGCATCTTACCAGCTCAATCGGCAGGACACTTCCCAGGGTGAAGGAATCAGAGGCTTTCGGGTAAGGTAGGGGAAAGTGGTGATTCCGGAGGACTCTGGCATGCAGCCTCCTGATAGGGGGAGGCGGGAGGGACTAGGAAGGGGCCGTGATGCAGCAGAAGAGGTGCACCTCACACCCCTACATACTACTCACTTGCTGGTAGAACTCACACCCGCCCTTCCACTGTAGCTTATCATTGCTCTCTGCGCACTCCTCCTCACTTCTAGGTCCCACGTGTCCTCCCCAACCAAACCCTCTGGGCATCAGCAAGTACTATTTTCGTGTAAAATGGGGACAGAACGCGAGGCAGTGCTTGGAATTGTCAAGGCAGGATGGGGAGACCGGATGCAGAAAGACAAGTAGCTGAGTGCCCCCAAACATCACCTCCTTTAGAGCCGTGCCTGAGAACAGGCTACCATATGTCAGAGAAATTTGCTGTATTTTGGTTAAGAATCTTTTATTTTACTTGTCCAGAGTCTCTTAATCACCTTCAGGGCACTTCAACAGTCCCTGAAAATTCAAAGATGAAAATAGTTCTTAATTTCAAGATGTTCATCACTGCTCAGTGGGTAAATTCTGGGGCTGTGATATGTCTTGGCATCATAGAGGTTTACTTAGACATGTTCCTAGGACTGCACCACCTACTAAGAGAATTCATTTTACCCCTTTGCTTCTTTAAAACAAACACTTGATTTATTTTTCCATCCCCACCCCACCTGCCTGGGTCCTTCCAGACTTCAACTCCACCCCACCATGCTTGCTTAATCTACTTTGCTAGATCTAATTTTTGTCATGTCCAGCTTGAACTTGGTTGGTGCCTGATAGATCACAGACTTATTCTGTGATGGACCAGAGCCAGGTGATTCTATAGCTCCGAAATGGGCCCCCCGGAGGTTGTCATATTAGTTTTCCAAAGGTGGTGGTAAAATGGAACCACAAAGCTGTGAAGTAGCCCTTTGACTTAACTCTTTTACACCCAGTAGAAACCTTTCAAAATTCTGGTTCTACTGAACGGCTATCAATTTTTTTTATGCCGAGTTGTGTCTTCTGTCAAATTAGTTTTTGAAATCACAAGGGTCAAACTCTTAAAACTTATAAAGAACAAAATGGATCCAGTTAATGGTAAACTCTAGAAACGGAGGGGCAAACAGCTGAAGCGAGAAGCAAAACATTTAGATAATCAGGCAGACTCAGGATAATCAAGTGAGTAAGCCCAGCAAATACAATGGCTCCACTCATGTGTTAGCGATGAGTTTCCTCTCATTGGGAAAGAGAATTTGCAGGGAGTGAAAACAGCATGGCTCTAAAATCCCAACACCAGCCACTGGAAAGTCCTACCCTTCCTTCGCTTTTGATGAAACCATCTAATTTGATGACGTGAGGAAGTTAGCAAGGAATGGCCCTTGGCGAGCTGCTGGTGACATGTAGATGGTCGCTGAGTCTGTGTCCCACTTTCCAAATGCTTGTGATGGCGGCCTGACTACCCCTGGCTGTGCGAGAGGCCATCAACGGCTGAGTTCTAGTTGGGGCTGCTCCTCTCCTACCCCATCGCCCTCCCTAAACATTGCCCAGCCCAAGCCGGCATTAATTGAGCCATGTGACCTTGGGCAAGTCAACTTCTATAGACCTCAGTTTTCTCCTCTATAAAATGAGGAGGTGGATGAGGTCCCCGATTTTAGAAATAAATGTTATTTAAAAAAAAAAAAGAGCGAGCAGTGCAGGGAAAGAGACAGCGGGTGTGCCAGGCACACCTGGGCCATAACCTGCCACTTACTGCTTCACTCATGGAAATCTTGTTAGAGAGTCCAAAACTGTGATCTGATCTAGCTTTAGGCAAGGTCTTTTTTGTTTTTTTCTCCTTTTAGAAAGAAAGCCAAGCTCAACTGTTTGGGACTCTACATTCCCGCTCTTTCTCCTCTTTTTTATTCATGGCACATTTCTTCTCAGTGATTCTTTCAGTGCATTTTTTTTTTATATTGAAAATAGACATTTTGTTTATACAAGGCACAATTTCAAAATAACAGTTATATAAAATATGTAGATATAATAGGGAGTATAAATAGAAATGCATATACATGGAAAATGTCACTGAGTTCAGTTTCCTTCTTTGTGAATCCTTAAGTGGATTGATGGGGCACGATACCTCTTTGCTCCCTTTCAGTGCCTGCAGAGCACCTCAGTAGAGGGACAGCGTTTGGAGCTGCAACACTGTTGTCATCCTTGTAGACATCTCTTAAGCCAGCAGGAGACTCAGAATTATCTTAGAGTCTCAGGTGTATTTCTTTTCTCTGTAAACTGCAAGTCAGGATGAGGGGTGGAATAGTCAAGCTGCTAAGCTATCCCAAATAAATGTCACAATGAAATAAAAGGAAAGCCGAGGCCTTCAGCCACTCCCAGGAAAGCTTCAACTGCTGGGATCTGGGGAAGGCAGCCCTACACCTGAGGCCGGGCAGGGCAGGACGGGTCCCGAGCATCCATCCTGAGACTGCAGAGCCTAGGAGGTGTCTTGGCTGGGTGCTGTTGATAAAATGATGCCAAGACGTTTGTTTTATCATCCTGATGGGCTGTTTCCTGGTGCCCAGCTCCTTGAGTCGTTTCCAGGTCCTCTTCGGCTAGGGCAGGGTTGGCGCCTTCGCTCAAGTCTCTGCTGCCCTCAGTCTCCCCCTGAGTGTCCCAGGTCGTGTGGGTAGTTTTCTGCATCCTCCTCTCTTCTGCTGGTTCCCCTAGTCATTGGCATCTCTTCCATGCTTTCCATTTCAACACTGGGTGTCTGCGAAGTTTGCCTGTAAAGCAGATCAGTCAGAGGTTTTGAAAAGAGGAGCGGGTCGCCCTCAGCTTGAGTGAACAGATAGTTCCTGTTGAACACTCAGATGGGGAAAACCTAGCTTACCTCCAGTCACGGCTGGTATTGAAATCTTACTTTGGTATTTTAAGCTGCTCGTCCACCAAAGATTGATCAGTGCTGCTGGAGCAGCTTACTCCCTCTTTTCCAATTCTCTGCTAAAAAGCAGTAGTTCAGATGGCAGGCACAAGAAGGAGAGAGTAACTGGGAGCCTGGCAAAGCCAGACATGATCATCTTGATAAAAGTGATGTAATATTCAGAAAGCTTTTAAAACAGTTCTTGGTACTTGGTATGTGTTTAAAGAAACAAATATATTAACCAGTTCCTGAGTAACCAAGAGTGGGGGAGGCAGAACATCTTATTCCACATGTTTCCCAGTCATTGAAGGACCTGTGTTTTTTGGCCCTGAGTATCTGGGCCAGCAATTTTTTCATGGATTATGTCATCTACCTCTTGAGGATAGGCAACTCTTTAGGACATTTCAAAGTAAACACTTTGAATCCAAAGAAAGCAAAAACACCAATTTGAAGAGATAGCTGCACCCCGTGTTCACTGCAGTATTATTTATACCAGCCAAGATATGGAAGCAACCTAAGTGTTCATTGATAGATGAATGAATAAAGAAGATGTGTGTATATATATATATACACACACACACACACTAGAATATTACTCAGCCATAAAAAATAATGAGATCTTGCCATTTGCAACAACATGCATGGACCTAGAGGCTATAGTGCTAAGTGAAATAAGTCAGAGAAAGAAAAACACCATATGATCTCACTCATTTGTGGGATCTAAAAAACAAAAACGAACAAACAAAACCAACAAACTTGTGGACACAGAGAACAAACTGGTGATTGCTAGAGGGGAGGGGCTGGGGGCAGGTGAAATAGGGGATTCAGAGGTACAAACTTCCAGTTACAAAATAAGTCACGGGGATATAATGTATAGCACAGGGAATATGGTCGATCATAGTGTAATAACTTTGTATGGCATCAGGTAGTAACTAGCCTTGTCATGGGGATCATTTCATAATGCATAAAAATGCTGAATCCGTATGCTGCACACCTGAAACTAATAGGATATTGTATGTCAGCCACACTTCAATTATCAAGTACATAAGCACTTTGAGCTCCTTGGAGTGAGAGCTAAACTATAAATCAGGACTCTAGGCCAATGTACTGAAAATAATTTGCTGAAAGCCAGTTTGTTGAATGACCAATCTACCTAATAACCCATCTGTAAAAAATAAGTTTACAGCAAAGAATTGATTCACCAAATGACCAAGTAGTTATGCTTTTCAGGTTTCTCAGTTCTTATAGGTATATTTATCAATATTTCTCTACTATAGTCAGTGAATATTGATATTTTCATCTTATCGGCATATTTATTGGCCATATATACCAAATTTACAAATTCTTGTAAGATCCTATTTTTAATGTCTTAAAAAATTGTGCACATTTTTTAAGTCAATGATAGTCATTATACTTTTTTAAGAACGTAACTCCAAATATAACATGTCGTGGAAATTTAGTTATAACAACACTTTGAAAGTCCTTTTAAAAGTCATTTTTTATTTTGCCAACATTTTAGCATTTTGGGGATTGTTTTGACAGATTTTCAAATCACACATCAACCTTAATGTGCTCTTTCTAAATGATCTATGAGGTTTATGGCATTTCTTTTGGTTGGGATGGTATTAACAGCTTTCAAAGATGGATGTGAATTTTTAGATGACTTTTTCATTTCGGCTTCACAGTAGCATTTCATGGAACATTCATTTTGCCAAAGTGAGGCTCGAAGGATGGTATCATCCTTATACTGATATATTTAGAAAAGAATTCTTTATGATTAGCAGCCAAAAGTTTTGTTTCAACAAATCTGATTTCTCCTGTTCATTGTATGTTGCTGAGGAAGGATCCAGAACAGCCATATCAACATGGAATGCTGGTTACTAGGTTCTAATTGATACAAGTATGAAATTCAGGTGAATATGCCATTTGAGGCTTTAATGAAAATTATAAAAAGGCCTCAAGTTTAGAAAAATAAATAAAAACTGAAATTTTGGCAAGTGGCAGAAACAGTCTTCTCGTCACCCAATGCTGAAATAAGAATTTCAATGATTAGAAATACAAAAGTCAGGCCTACATGAATGAGCACATAAATAAGAAAATATCCCTATATTTAATGAGAACATTCAAGAAAATATATTCATGACTGTATCACAGCAATTGCATATCCATCAAATTGGTTATTGGGTAGGTTCTTTCCTTCTGAAAAGGAAAGAAAACTTCGTTCATTCTTTTCTTTCCTTGTGGTAGAGCGGCCCCTTGTCACCAGTTAGGTTCTGGCTGCCGTGTCTCCTACTCGAGGCCTGTGGGGGGCCTCCCAGGGCCAGCTCTCCATTGGCCGGTACAGGAGTGAGCGGGTGTGAGAGCCCACCTCAGTAGCCAGGAAAGGGGGTCTTGCTTTGAGGGGGCAGCGGAAACATAATGATGCAGCTCTTTTCTGGGAGGGAAGGAAGAATCCCGTCCTCTGTGATTCCCTCGCGCTTCTCACCTGGATTTTCGGTAACAGACCAGAAGAAGCACCGCACATACTACCCCGAGCACAGCGACAGGTGTGAAGATTGCCACTGCAAGAGAACAGAACAGAGCTGTCCTGCGGAGAGTCCTGGCAGCAGGTTCATGTCTAAGAATCTGAAAACTCTTTACAATTGACAATCCTGCAGAGAGATCCAAATGCCTTCCCAGCCCCAGCTGTTACTGACATTTCTGGAGGTCCACACAGCCCAATCTGCTCTACTTCTGGGCAGAAAGTGCATTCTTTTCCCACCAATACCACCAGTTCAAACCATCGCCTTTCACGTCGTCCCACATCCCCAGCTCCTAATCCATCCTTCCTGGTCAGGGTGACATGGTGATGGGACGAGAGGAGAAAGTAAAGGCCTCAGAGTTCACAAGATGGGAAGGCTGGTCTGCTGCTCAATCCAAAGTCAGAAAATAGTTGTCCTTGGGACCACCTCCCCCTTTTCTTCAACTTCACAGAATCCCCATTTAGAAACAATAGCATGCAGTGCCATGCTTCTTCCAATTTCATCTTTTTTTTTTTTTTTAAATAGGCTCCACGCTGGGCATGGATCCCAATGTGGGGCTTGAACTCACGACCCTGAGATCAAGACCTGAGCTGAGATCGATTTGGATGCTTAACTGACTGAGCCACCCAGGCACCCCCATCATTATTGTGTTTTTACTAGCAGCTTTTTATGGCGGAGGAAGAGTGGTAAGGAGAGAAAGGAGGTGTTGTAAAAGGTGTTACGGATAAGAGGAGAGTAAGGCTATGGCTTAGGAGAAGGGAAAGATCCTGTTTGGGCTGAGTTGAAAGGAACAGCCTGGAGTGGTGGGGGCACTTGGAGGTAGGAGGCCAGCAGCTGTAGGGCATTTAAGATTTATTAGACAGGATAGGAAGAGTGGGATCTCCATGTGGAAGCCAGAGGGCTTAGCCCAAGGGCATGGTGAACCTAACTATTTTAAAAACACTTGCATCAATAATAAGTTCCAGGCAAGAGTTGGTCAGTTTGCCTCCACGTTGTGAAATCTCCCTGCAAATATCACCCACCTAGCCTACATGTAGGATGACAACCCTGAACATCTGGGGGGCCAGTGGTCTGACTGTGGACCACGAGTCACATCTCCTAGACTGGCTGTTTGGACCTGGGCCTATACAACCAGCACACGACCTCGTGTACGGGATACATCTCCTATCTTTGCCTTCAAAATACAACTCTATCGAAAAACAGAGAAATACAAGGATGTGGGGAAACACTCAGATTCTCCGCCGGGTACGGAGTACAGTTTTTCTCAAGGGCATTCGGCAACATGGAACAACAGCTTTAGAGAAGACCACACCGTTGACTCTCTAGTCCCACTTCTAGGAATTTATTCCAAGGAAATGGGCAAATACATCCAGGAGTATTCACTGAAGTATTATTTAAAACAATTTTTAAAATGTTAATCTCAATCTCTTAGTAATGGAAAATTAATTAAGCTGTGGTTATACCCATACATTGGACTATCATCCAACTTTTAAAAATTATGAAATGAATCTGTATTAACACAGAAAGATGCCTCCAATTACTTAGGTGAAAAAAAACTGGCTGAGGTCAAAATGAACCAAAAAATAATCTCCAGTAAGCCATGCGTGTGTCCATAGGCCCAGGACAGCCTTGAAGAATAGATACCAAAGTACTAAGTAATGGTGGGCTTGTAGATAATCTTTATTTTCTTTTTTAAAAAGTTTGCTTTTTCCCTGATATTTTTGAAATGGTACTGTCATCAGAAGAAACAGTAAAGTTGTCAAAACAAAACTACCTGTGCCTAAGTAAATACAAACGAGAATAGAAAAGTCCCAAAGGAAATAACAAGGAAGCATGGCAAATTAGTGAAAAATGTTTTGAATTTTCAGACTTAACATTAATCATTATGACTAAAAACCAGAAATACTTCCTAAGAGACGGTGTGCCCTAGGGTAAACTATTTCTTCCATTGACTAATCAGCTTGTCATGCATTTACTGTCTGCAGAGGGATTTACTGGAAAAGGCTGGTTGATGTCAGCTGTAATTTTGCTTTCATAATGCCTCTTCCTTTTTCTTCTGAATGAGAATCACGCCTGCAGACTCCCAATTCCAGAGAGAGAAGAGGCCCCTGAGCCAATGATGTGACAGAGCACTTTGAATCCAGGGACAAACTCATACCCTTGGCCTCTTCCTCCATTATATCCAGGCAAACTGGGTAAAAAAAAATTGAAACCAAAATCACAAAGATGCTAGGTAAACAAATCAACTGGCAAGTTCCCCCACCGTTTTGTGTTTCCTAGGGTATGCATGGGTTGTAGAAAAAGGAAGAGAGAGAGGTTTGGTGAGCCAGAGGAGAACAGAGGAGGATTTGAGTCAGGGGCGGGAGTAGGGGGTGGGGATGGATTATTGCTCAGGAGGCCGAGAAAGGCCAGTAGCTCCCTGGCTTGACTTCAACCCGCAGTGCGTGTTGGGTCTAAAGCGAAGAAGGTGGCCGAGGCAACCAGTGGCCATTGTTCAATGTGGATGATGAAAAGGTCCTCTGAGAACAGGGTGGGGGAAGGCACCATTCCTTAGCAGTACCTGCAAACTAGATCAGCCAGGAAGTGCTGTCTCTGAGTGCTGGTGTGCCTGCATCTGATGAAGGCCGTTTTGAAGTAAGACTATCATTATTCCTGGGCAGTGTTTCTCTTCTGTCTCTTACTGCACTAAGCACACAGCAAGTGTTGGGCTCAGAGTAGGTACTCAATAAATACCTAACTGATTGAATGAAACCATTCACAGTCCATAAGTTAAAGGACATTCGATGTGCCATTTGCTTCTCAATGAGAAATCTGCATTTCATTGCAACTGAGGACCAACCCGGCACAGAGTTAGAACTCAATCTACATTGAATAAACAGAGGAATGATATAATATAGAGCTAGCTCCTATTAAAGGCTGAGCATATCAACTGCAGCAAATCGATTTCAGATATGACAGATGAGAAGTATAACACAGTCTGAAGAATTAACTCTTCCCTCCTTGTGTCTTAAATGAACATGGCAATGTAAACACTGTCATAGGTGACATTCTGGCTTTTTACTTTACAATCAGGAGTCCTCAGGAATAGCCTAGTCAAAGATCAGATAGGGGATATTGGAATAGCTGAATGAAATTATTGCTTAAAAGGGCTGCCAAGGGGCGCCTGGGTGGCTCAGTTGGTTAAGCATCTGACTCTTAGTTTCAGTTCAGGTTGTGATCTCAGGGTCATGAGATTGAGCCCTGTATGGGGCTCTGCACTCAGCACAGAGTCTGCTTGGGATTCTCTCCCGTCTGTCCCTCCCCCTGCTTGTGCTCTCTCTCTCTAAAATAAATAAATAAAATCTTAAAGGAAAAAAAGCCTGCCAAGTGAGCCTGTAGATACTTAAGACAATGAAATGAAGAATTGCACTTCCTAAACATTTATTAAAATGTTAAAGTCCTCAAATTAACATATTCATTTGCTCGCTCACTATTTATTGAGCATCTACTATTTACCATTTTCTTTTGAACTGAAAAAAGCAACTTTTATAAGTTGTGATAATTTATGTAACTTTAAAAATTGTGATATTGGTAGTTATCAATGGGCTGATGAAAATATTAAGTTAATTAACATTTGCTGAGTGATTATTATGGTAAAGCATCTATATTTGCTTACAAACATGGTCAACCGATTGCTTATTCATGCAGAAATGGCAACACCTACGGATGCCCAAGGAGCCAGCTGGTATCTCTGCCGTTTGTACCTGACAGGGGCAAACTTTTGGGTCTCAGGTAGCTGGGACTGTATATGACAGACTTGGCAGGCACCATCATTAAATGTTTTTAGAAAACTAGCATGATTTTAATTTCAGTTTACACCTTCTTAGCCAATAAAACTTAAATAACACCTAATGAAATAGAACTCATCTTTATTTTTTATTTCTTTGCTAACAATTACTTGATCTGTCTTGTAAGTTAGGTGCTAACATGTTTATCTTGAAGCCTCCCGGAAGAAGGAAATCTTACTCACATAACAGGAAAGATTTAAAGTTTTTTGTTTTTGTTTTTTAATCTCTGTATTTCCGCAGTTTCTTGCACGGAACTATTTTTGCCTATTGCAGGTGTTCAGTTAATGTGTATTACATTATACTTCAGAACTGGGGAGACTTTCTGATATTTTAATCTAGTGAAAATCATGAGCTGGAAAAATGTAAGATGATATCCCATAATAAAGTAGTTGTTTGAAAATCTACTTAGAAAACATGGACCCTCAAATTTTATATACAGGATTTTTTCCTACAGATATACTTGCCCACAGCAAAATGATAGGTTTTCCAATTAATCACTGTTTGTAACATAGTCAAAGAATGTAAACAGTCACATGTCCAAATAGGGGGTTGGCTACATAAATTCTGGCAAATCCATATGGTAGGATTTTTTGTAGCTGTTTTAAAGAACGAAGTGGTTTTAATGTATTGATATGGAAGGATTTCCAAGAGATACCATTAGGTGAAAATGAACAAGGTGCAAAACAGTGAAAATACAATACCTGTTTAGCATCATATATCCTCTGTGAGCTATTTACAGGGTGACTCTCTGAAAGGACACACAGAAATCTGGTAGCAGGAGTTGCTTTCTTCCTGCAAGGGGATTTTCAGTCTGAGATGGGGCTTTTTGCTCTATATCTTTTTGTAATTTGTAATTTTTAAACCCTGTGCAAATATTACCAATTCAAAAAAATGAATAAAAAATGTAAAACTTTGTAGAAAGGTTAATGTAATATGTGACGTAAGGAGAAAAATTAGGTTAGCTACTTTATTTACTGGTTGCCTCTTAAGTGATAAACATATTTTTGTTTCAGTGTCCTTGTCATTAATCCCACAGTTTCTCCATGAAAATACTCTCCAGATGGGCTTTTTTTTTATTGTCTTGCCTTTGCATATACATTTTGATCATTTTAAAAACCATTCTAATCAACTAGCTGCTGAAATGACCAAACCCACTTGGTTGGCCTTTTTTTTTTAAGAGAGAGTACTTGCACATGAACCTGTGTGGGGGAGGATGTGGTGCAGAGGGAGAGGGAGAGAGGGGCTCCATCCCACAATCATGACCTGAGCTGAAGGAGTTGGATGCTTAACTGACTGAGCTACCCAGGCACCCCTCACTTTTTTTTTCTGGATGACACTTTAAAAAAAAAGATTTTATTTATTTACTTATTTATTTATTTGAGAGAGAGAGAGAAGAGAGTGGGAGTAGGGGGAGGATCAGAGGGAGAGGGAGAGAAGCAGACGCCCCGCTGAGCATGGAGCCAATGTAGGGTGATGCGGGGCGACGTGGGGCTCAATCTCATGCCCTGAGATCACGACCTGAGCTGAAAGAGTCTGATACTTAACCAACTGAGCCACCTGGGTGCCCCTAGATGACACCTGATGCAGATAAAATATAGCCACAAAAATGAGTCATTCTCCAGTAGAAAAACTTGTAAATGGAAAATAGAAATAATTTTTGTCTTATGAAGTTACGGTGGTTTTTGTTTGTTTGTTTGTTTTTTTTGCTTCTTGAAAACTTGTCAGACAAAAGTCTTAGATTCTTTCTTATGATTGCAATTCTCTCTCCCTTCTCTCTTCTTCCTCTCTCCTCCCCTTCCTTCCTCTCTTTCTTTAATTCTTGCGAACGCTTTTCCATTCCCATCCTCACATTCCCTGGGTCATTCACTTTCTCTCCTAGCTTTAAAGTTGTGTGCTTCTTCTGTAAAAAGAAGCCTCTTATATTGAGACATTTGAGCAGCCTTGCTGTGAAGGGCATCATGCTGAAACCCTGTGAAAGATGAATGCAGTTTATGACAGAATAACAGCATCGCAATGACAGTGATACACGTGTGTGGTGTTCTGGTAAGTCCTGCATGCAAGTCCAGCCCTGCTTAGGGGAAGGAGGCTCTTTTGTGATGCGTCAGCTCTCTGGTTCCCACATCAGTAGCCTGACAGGGAGGAGCTACCAACAGTGAGATAAGCAGTCATGTTAGAATCCCATAAGTAGGGTGATCCTATAACTTACTATCTAAACCGAGACACTCTTGAGCGGAGAAGGGGATGCTGCTGGTGGCCAGGCTGGGGCAGCACATAAACCAGGACTGTCCCACCCCCTGTGACTGAGGTCCTCTGGGCATAAACACTGCCAGGACAAGAGAAAAAAAAATACTTACCAGTCACAGCTCCAGAATTGTATGAATATGTACCTGCAGAGAAGAGATTGCAGCTGAGTTATTGCTGTTTCTCAGTTAAGGCACCAGTTTCTCGTTAAGCAGGAGGAATTTTGGACAATTTGGTTTCCATCCTAAAGCCTTGAGAGATTGATGGCTGGCAAAACCAAATTCCCTTTAGCAGAGAACAAGGGTAATTTATTTAGATGCTGGGCCATGCTTAAGAATCAAATATGCCCTGTTTGCACAGCAAAGGAAAACATCAACAAAACAAACAGACAACCTACTAAATGGGAGAAGATATTTGCAAGTGACATATCTGATAAGGGTTAATATCCAAAGTGTGTAAGAACTTATACAACTCAACACACACACACACAAGCAAATAGTCCAATTAAAAATGGGCAGAGGACCAGATAGACACTTTTTCAGAGAAGACACACAGATGGCCAACAGGCACACGAATGGATGCTCAACATCACTGATCATCAGGGAAAGGCAAATGTGAAGCCACAATGACACATTATCTTACCCCTGTGAGAATGGCTAGAATCAAAAAGACAAGAAACATCAATTGTTATGGAGGATGTGGAGAAAACACTGTTGGTAGGAATGCAAGCTGGTGCAGCCACTGTGGAAGACAGTATGGAGGTTCCTCAAAAAAATTAAAAATGGAAAAAGCTATACGATTCAGTAATTCTGCCAGGTATTTACCCAAAGAAAACAAAAACACTAATTTGAAAAGATATATGCACTCCTATGTTTATTGCAGCATTATTTACAGTAGGCAAGATATGGAAGCAGTCCAAGTGTCCATCAGTAGATGAATGGATAACGATGTGGTATATATATACACAGTATTACTCAGCCATAAAAAAGAATGAAATCTTGCCATTCAATAACCATGGATGGACGTAGAACGTATTATGCTAAGTGAAATAAGTCAAACAGAGAAAGACAAATACCATATGATTTCACTTAGATGTGGAATCTAAAAAACGAAACCAATGAACAAACAGACAAAAGCAGAAACAGACCCATAAACACAGAGAACAAACTGATGACAGCCAGAGGGGAGGAGTGTGTGTGTGGTGTGGGGGTGGGATGGGCAAAACGGGTGAAGGGGGAGCAGGAGGTCCAGGCTTCCAGTGATGGAATGAATAAGTCACGGGGATGAAAGGTACAGCACGGGGCGGGTTGGGAGCATAATCAATGGTATTGTAGTAGAGAAAAACACGCCACAAAGAATCAGCTAATGCCTTTACGGAAGATGCAGATTACCAAGAACTTTTCCATCCCACAGACTGTGACTCCAGATTGCAGAAGGCTTCCACTGTCCTCCCATATTGGGAGGAGGCAGATATTATTCAGACTGGCAAGCCTCTGCCATGCAGGTCTGTACGGTGAGCCTTGTCCCATCCAGGAGATGGACTTTCTTTTCCAGCTGGGCTGAAGCAGGGCAGAGCACAGAGGTTAGAGGGCAGAGCAGGGAGGCTGTGGCACGGAGCAGCGAGCGGGGGGTTACTGAGTTGTCTGGACTTCAGGTCAGATGGTATAATGCTGTGCAGTCGGCTCACTCGAGGTCTCCACCCGCTTCCCAGAAGCAGCCCACGGGTTGCTGACCTCTCCTAAAGTATGCAAAGCCAGTGCTAACCTGGCGTCTCCTGTGAGGCGGAGGGAGTGCGTTCCAAGGCCTTTGCCGTTGTCTGAGGTGGGGCTTGGAAGGGTTCCTGACTGATCGGCCCTGTGGTTCCTGTAGCAGGAGGCTTTGATGGCATCGGCCTGGAGCCTGGCACAGTATCGGGCTTTGTGGCCACTGTGGTGTCTGACGTGGAAGTGAAAGCTGGTTCTGTAGGAAAGCGCAAGATATGGAGAACATGAATATTTAGACTCGTGTCTCTGCTCAGCTCCAGAAGAGAGTGGACTTGGTGCTTGCTCTAGTGAAGCCCACCACAGGCCAGCCCTCCCCCGGCGCACTCCTCCATGGCTCTTTGGGAAAATCCCTTAGGTGGGTAACCTGTTCATCCATCTGGAATGGCCACGGGACTTTCGAGAATGCTAGAGGCTCTGCAGCTGTTTATCATGGGGCAAAGTTCAAGATGCCACGGATTTGGGTAGACTCGGATGCTATGGGAGGCTGCTCTCAAAAACCGAGCGCAACTGTATTTGCCAAAGACATCTGGGGTGCGGATTTTCATTTATTTTTTACGTGTTTGCACATGACTTCTGAAATGGGGGGGAAGCCTGAGGTTCAGCCTGACCGAATCCTAGAGAGCGTATTTGAAGGAAGGGTCCTGGTTTTGCGCTGATCGAGGGGAGGGCAGCCCGCCTTGTGTCCAGGCCCTCACTGTCCCTGTCGACCTGGCAAATGGCTGCCCCCAAACTGTGAAGCATGATACAAGTGCCTCTGTGACCCCAGCACCGTTGGCTGTCTGGCCACGCCGTGTGGGGCTGCTGTCCCAGCCGCTTACGCTGTGAGACGTCCTCCTGCCCCTTCGTCCCCCATTAGTACCTCACACGTACCTCACACCATCCGGGCTGCCAGCACTCCGGGCGCTCTGCAGGCAGAGCTCCCCCAAAGCATTTCCATCCAAGTGCCCATGGCCACGTCACCCCGTGTCGGAGATTACACTCCCACGCCTTTCACCTGACCAAGTGTTCCATGCACGAAGGCAAGGCTGGCAGAGACCAGCCTTGATTATTCTCATCAGTTGGTGCACCAGATGTGACTTGGGTCAAAGGGGTTTTGGAATTACTCCAAACTTAAATGTAGTCAGCGCTCAACCATATCCTCCTGTTTGTAGTCAACAAACTACCTAACTAACTAGGAGGAAGCCTCCCTCTGGCCTCGCCATCCCCCCTTCGGCATTGCTACTCAGCTTTGGCTCCCTAAGAACCACCTGGGGAGATTCTAGAACCCTAATTCCCAGGCTGCTCCCCAGACCGCCAGAGTTCCGGGGAGGTCCCCACATGTGTCCACGGTTAGGAAGCTGTGCTCAAGGGGAGGCGAGCCCGAGCAGTGCAGCCAACCGCAGCAGGATGCCTGTGCCGGGCACGAAGGGGGAGACGGGGGTGGGGAAGCACCACACTGGATAACGGGACACAAAAAAATCAGGAGTTAAGTGTAAAGTAAGGCTTCCCTAGGATGTAGGGCACATTGTCCCAAGACATTAGCATCTATGGTTTCAAATTTTCTTAACATCAGGACGGTGCTGAGGAAATTGGGATAGAAGATTAGCTAAGACCCTGGAAATGCGTAACGTTGGCAGCTCTGTGCAGTGCTTCTGTACCCAGCAGCCCCCCGTTGGGGGAACAGTTCTGCATGGGTCCCTCATGTTTCTGCACGTCTTCTCGGCAGAGGCACCAGCAGCCCTCTCTTGGGACTATCTTTCCAAAGATGTTCCTATAGCCTTGGAAGGTACAGACAGCGCCTCACCCTGGAGCAAAGGACAGACATGGTCAGCCGGTTATAAAAGACTCCAGTTTCTTGAACTCAGGCTTCCTCTGCTATGAAGCAGCCTGCTGGATGTGCAGGCATCTTGGAGGCCCCTCCCCATTGCCCCTGTGGGATACAGAGATGAGGAAATTGAGGCAAACATGCCGAGGGTCCTGCTGCCTGCTGTGCCATGGAAGGAAGAACGTCCTTGGTCTCTGGAGCAGGAACGTCCTGTTTTCCGTGGGCACCCATGACGTGTTGGCGGGCTAACATGCAAGGCAGGCAAAACCGCAGATCCTCCCCAGTTTTGATGAGGAAGCACGTCTACAGCTAAGTCTGATCTGGCATTGTAAGAGTGGGTTTCGAACCATCATTAATTATGTGCAGCCGAAACCTAGCTATCAAGGTTTTAAAAGAGAAAATGATTTAAAAGAGAAAATGAAGCTAATATAATGTTGATGTTAATAAAAAGTGTGTCCTGTTGTTTAAGTTGGCCGTGGAACTCCAGCGGTTGGTCCAAGAATCTGAGGGGCTCACGGGGACCTGCGTGGTCACAGGGAATGGGAGTCCTTAAAAAGTTTCCAACATCCCTACCTTTTCCAGAAAGGGAGGTGCTCTGTGGCTCTGGGGTCACCCCTGCTGGCACTTCTGTGGAGGATGGCCTTAGGTGAGTCAGGGAGGGGTCTCCTAGAGAGAGGATAATCACATGGCATTCATGAGCCTGAGGGTGGAACCTGGAGTGCTTCACAACCACATAGAAATAAAAAATATATATATATAAATTTAAAATAGAGATATCTGGCTTCCCGGGATAGGTCAGAAGCTCGAGAAATATGCAACAATGTTTCCCAATCTGCAATTCCCAGGCAAATGCAAGCAGAGGGCAAACTCTTTTTCTAGCCTTTCAAAAAGACTGCACACATATCAAATGTCTTATTACTTTCAGTTAGAATGATATCAATGAGATCAACTCAGTTTTATAATACTGTCTTTTACATGGGAAAATAAATGATTATCAGTAGATTCAGTTGTTTTGTAAGGAAAAAAAAAAAAAAAAAAAGCATTCCAAGCACAGGAGGTTAGGAAAAGTAATGGAGGGAGTTGTTAGTGGTAAAAGGTGAGGATTCTTTGGGCTACATGAAACCTAAAGATCCTCCAGTCTTTAGGTTCTAAAAGTCTATGATCCCAGGTCTCTCCCCCTTGCTTTCTCTACCCCCACCCCCCACCAACCAGTTCAGAGCCTACAACTCTTCCCCATCTTAGATTCATTCACCCAAAGGAATTGGCACTTTGAAGAAACAGTCACTTTGCCTGTGTTGGAAAGCCCTTATTTTTGCCCCTGGATTGCAGGTACCAGCAGGTGCCCACACTGGACAGAATAAGATGTCTACTCTGTGTCTTTGCCATAGTGTTATTGCTCATACCTGTCATCACCCAGCTAGCTCAGCACTTCAATCGCACTTGATGCCATGTGGCACTATGTCCCCCAGCTGAGCGATTCCTTTGCAATAAATAGAAGGCTTCTTCCTCGCCCTGCCTCTGATGTCTGCATGATGTCATGCAGGGGGAGGGGGCAGGTGCACAAAATCAATGAGAAAGTCTGGCTGTTCAAGGAATCCTACAGCAGAGTGAGTTTGCTCTAGAACAACCCCTTTTGTCCACTTCCCCAGAGAGGAGTTGAGAATTTTCACATATATGAGAAAGTCTCTAGCTTGCAGTTGGACATGTACCAAATATGCAATAAACCATGAGTTAATCTTTATTTTTCTAGAGTAAGGGCCTTAGTATTCCTGGAAATAGCACTATTGACTTCCACTCCAAGATTGTTGGCTTCTGACATAGTTATCCAGTTGTGGATGGTTCATAAAAAAATAGATTCTGACAACCATCCCTCACATGGGCTCTGGAGTGCTGGCTGGACACCAGACATGGGTGACCAAGCTAAGGGAGTCTCTGCTCCTTGGGTAGCCCCCATTCTTCTGGGTGGGTAACAACAAAGAACCCTAATAATTTCCCTACAGGTTGTCTTCTAGGGAGAAATTGGGAAGCTCTCTGGGAAGCAAGCATGCCAAATTCTTGCTACCATCATCTTAAAGGCATATGTCAGAGATATTGTGGGTTCTGTACCAGACCATCACAATGAAGTAAATGTGGCAATAAAGCAAGTCAAATGAATCTTTTGCTTCTCAGTGCATAGAAAAGTTATGTTTGCACTATACTATAGTCTATGAAGTGGGCAATAGCATAGTGTCTAAAAAAAATCAATACATATACCTTAATTTAAAAATACTGCTAAAAAATGCTAACCATCATGTGAGCTTTCAGTGAGTCATAATCTTCGCTGGTGGGGGGGTCTTGCCTCGATGTTGATGGCTGCTGACTGATGAGGTGGCTGCGGCAATTCCTTAAAATAAGACACTGATGAAGTTTGCCCCAGTGACTGACTCTTCCTTTCACGAATGATTTCTCTATAGCAGGTGGTGCTGTTTGATAGCATTTTACCCACAGTAGAACTTCTTTCAAAATTGGAGTCAGCCCTCTCAAACCCTGCCTCTGCTTTATCAACTGAATTTATGTAATATCCTAAATCCTTTGTTGTCATCTTAACCAGGAGTAGATTCCATCTCAAGAAACCACTTCCTTTGCCCATCCATAAGAAGCAACTCCTCATCTGTTCAAGTTTGATCATGAGATCGCAGCAATTCAGTCCCATCTTCAGGCTCCACTTCTAATTCTGGTTCTCTGGCTGTTTCCACCTCATCTGCAGTGACTTCCTCCACTGAAGTCTTGAGCCCCTCAAAGTCGTCCATGAGGTCTGGAATCAACTTCTCCAAAACTCCTGTGAATGTGTATATTTTGACCTCTTCCTGTGAATCATGAATGTTCTTAATGGCATCTAGAATGGTGACTCCTTTCCAGAAGGTTTTTAATTTACTTTGCTCAGATCCATCAGAGAAATCACTGTCTGTGGTAGATATTGCCTTATGGGATGTATTCCTTAAATACTAAGACTTGAAAGTGGAAATGACTCCTTGATCTGGGGACTGCAGAATGGATATTTTTTTAGCAGGCATGAAAACAATATTAATTTCATTTTCATCTCAATCAGAGTTCTTGGGTGACCAGGTGCATTGTCAATGAGCAGTCATATTTTGAAAGGAAACTTCTTGAGCAGTAGGTCTCAACAGTGGGCTTAAAATATTCGGTAAACCATGTTGTAAGCAGATGTGCTGTCATCCAGGTTTTGTTGTTCCCTTTATAGAGCTCAGGCAGAATAGATTTAGCATCATTCTTAAGTTTCCTGGGATTTTCAGAATGGTCAGTGAGCACTGGCTTCAATTTAAAGTCATCAGCTGCATTAGCCCCTAAAAAGAGAGTCAGCCTGTCCTTTGAAGCTTTGAAGCCAGGCATTGACTTCTCCTCTCCAGCTGGGAAAGTCCTAGATGGGCTCTTCCATACTAAGGCTGTTTTGTCTGCGTTGAGGATCTGTTGTTTAGTGTAGCAGCTTTCATTAATTATCTTAGCCAGATCTTCTGGATAACTGGCTGCTTCACTTTGCACTCTTATGTTATGGAGACGACTTCTTTCCTTGAAGCACATGAACCAACCTGTGCTCGCTTCAAGCATTTCTTCTGCAGCTTCTTCACCTCTCTCAGCCTTCATGGAATTGAAGAGAGAGCCTTGCTCTGGATGAGGCTTTGGCTTAAGGGAGTGTTGTGGCTGGTTTGACCTTCTATTTGGACCCCTAAAACTTTCTCCATATCACCAATAAGTCTGTTTTGTTTACTTACCTTTTGTGTGTTCTCTGGAATAGCACTTTTAGTTTCCTTCAAGGACTGTTCCTTTGCATTCATAACTTGGCACAAGAGGCCTATTTTTTGGCCTATCTTGACTTGACATGCTTTTTTCACTAACCTAATCATTCCTAGTTTTGACTTGAAGAGAAAGACGTGATTCTTCCTTTCACATGAACCTTTAGAAGCTATCGTAGGGCTGTTAATTAGCCTAATTTCAATATTGTTCTGTTTCAGGGAGTAGGGAGGTCCAAGGAGAGGGAGAGAGACGGGGAATGGCCAGTCCATGGAGAGGTCAGAAGACATATACAACATCCATTGATTAAGTTAACCATCTTACATGGGTGCGGTTTGTGGTGCCCCAAGAGAATTCCAGTAGTAATATCAAGGATCACTGGTCCCAGCTCCCATAACCAATATGAGAAAGTTTGAAATGCTGCGAGAATTACTAAAATGTGACATAGAGATACAAAGTGAGCAAATACTGTTGGAAAAATGGTGTCAGTAGACTCTCTTGAAGCAGGATTGCCACAAATCTTCAATTCGTAAAGAACATAATTATCTGTAAAGTGCAATAAAGCAAAATGCAACAGAGTGAGGGATGGCTGCAGCTAATATTGACCAGGTTTCACGGCACACTGCTACAGCCCACACCATTGACATCGGGTTCATTTTCTAGATGAGGAACAAAGACTTCCAAGATGGTAAGACACTTGCTCAAGGAACCCAAAACTGTGACCCTAAAGCCTATGTATTTTCAACTCCCAGGGGCGTTGTTTAGAGGCCCACTGGTTTATTTAGCCTCAGACCTCAACACAAACGTCTTGTCCCCCAGAGATGGGCTCATTCAGCTTCCCACACTACAGTTCTGCTCTGTAAGGCTCTGGGAAGGGGGATGGAGAGACTTGCAGGGATGGCTACTTACTGATGCACTTGAGATTGGGAATTGTCCACTGGGCCACGTTCATGGTCTTGTTGAACACGCATTCGGTCAGGCTGGATGTCCCAGCTTTACGCTTGAAGCCAGAGTTACATGTGTACCGCTCCCTGGAGCTCACGTTGTAACTCTTGACCCGGATGTCTGCGTGTTCGACCGACATGGGAGGAGGGCATGTGATGCCTGCAGGGGTGCAGATAAGACAGGACAGATGAACACATTTCAGGTTGTTCAGAGGTGTTCTCCAGGGCAACATGGGTGGCACTCAGTGCCTTTGTAGCCAGGGTCTGGCTTTCCGAGGGGCCCCTTAGGATACACCCCAGGTTCTAAGCATGTGGAAAATGTTCAGTAAGGGCTCTCATCATTTAGAAGCCTTCCAGGAGCCTTGTCTTAAGTGCTCACCAACCAGCATGGCTAGGGACTGGGGAGTCATCCGTGGAAACCCCTTTCCCTTCCCTTCACTCCCCATCAGTCTCTCACCGTCTCTATCTCTTTGGCCCCATCCAGCCTGGCCTCTGCACTCTCTTGCCTGAAAGCAGCAATAACCTTTGAATTGGTCTCCCTGCCTGTTCTCCCTGAAAGCCTTTAATCCATTTCTGTAATACAGCCAGTCATCTTCAGAAATGCGCATTGGATGACTTCACTCCTTCCTGGTTGCCCGCTGCTCTTAAAATAAAAACTAAAATCCTCAAGAAGTCTTCAATGCTCTGCTGGACCTGCCCCCAACCCCCCCCCAGCTACTCTTCCCCCTGGCCACTCTGGCCTTCGGTCCACGCCCCCCAGGCCACTCACCATGCCCACTGCTCTCCCCAGCCCATCTCCTGCCATCCTTCCTAACGTGAACATGACTTTCTCAGGAAAGCCTTTCCTCCCCTCCCCACCCAGTCAGCCAGGTCCCATAGTTCTGTGTTCTCTCCCTGTGCGGCCAGCCACTCTCATGGTTCTACCAAAGACAATGAGATGATGTAAGGGCTGTGTCTCATCATTTGCACTTTGAGCGGTGGCAGCGGGGGGCACATCTGTCTTGCCCAGTTGGGTTCTCTGAGCCTCGTACAATAGCTGTTCAAGAAAGAGCATTCAGAGAATGATGCTTATTATGCACATGCCCTTTACCCCAGCAATTTCACTTCTAAGAATTTACCTTACAGATATACTGGTATATTTATGGAGTGAGTATGTACAAAGTTATTGGTCATAATAGCCAGTACCTATAAATTACCTTGTATGTGGTCAGCAGGAGACTAATTTAGTAAATTACAATACAGCTACCCTACAAAGAAGTACCACCCAGCTCTTTACAGTAGATGAAGAAAGCTCTTTGTGCACCGAAGTGGAAAGATCTCCAAGATACACTGTTAGGTTAGGAAGAAAAGGAATAGAACCCTATGTTTTATATGCTACCATCAGTAAAAAAAGAAGAAATGGTACCTATACACAATATTTTGTCTGTACATAAAATCTCTGAAAGGATGCAAGAGACTATTAACACTGGAGATGAGGCAGCTGAGAGATGCACTGGGAGAGACTTTTTACTGAATGCCTTTTTGTCCTTTTTTTTTTGGTCTTTTCATACTTCCTGAATCTTTAGTGGTGCAAATGTTTTACTGGTTAAAAATGCTTTTGAGGGATGCCTGGGTGGCTCAGTTGGTTAAGCATCTGCCTTCGGCTCAGGTCAGGATCCGGGGTCCTGGGATCAAGTCCCGCATCAGGCTCCCTGCTCAGCGGAGAGTCTGCTTCTCCCTCTGTCTCCCCCCCACACCCCCTACCCTGCTTGTGCTCTCCCTTATATTTAACAAGCAGTGCCACCCAGATGCTGACCAATCAGAATAGCTGCTGGAAATACTTGGGACTGGGGGAGGGGTGACCACTGGCCACAGATGAAAGGCCACACTGATGAGGACTGGCAGAATATTAGTTGTGCCTATATGTTATACTGTTTTAAATATATGAAATGCTGCATAATAGAAAGGTAGGGGATGGGAGATTTTAAAGTACCCTGCCACAGGAACTCAGAAATCTTGGTTGAGCCTAGGGCAGGAGAGGGATAAATCCTGCTGAGTGGCGGGTGTTCGGTGCTTCGGCTGTAATATGTTACCTGCTACAGGAATGTGAGAAATGCAGGAGATTCTGGAATTAGGAATTTTTGCCTTTCTCTGAGCAAGTGAAGGCAGCGTGGGGAAAAATTGAAGGCGAGAAGTTTGGCAAGGTCATCTGGGAGGATTCTGGACACCCTTTTGGGAGACAGCTCCCCCCACCCCCCGCCCCAGTCACTCCCAGCAAACTGTGGACGTGACAAAGTGCATGCCAAGTGATACCTTTTATCAGAAGAATGTCACCAAAAGAAGGTAAGAGCCAGAGCTAGAATGATTCAAGTTTTCTCTAACCTGTACAACCATGTTAAAAATGTCCCTCTTCTTTTAATTAGAATCTGAAAGATTTGAGCAAGACTTAGAGCCCATGATTTTCCTCAGTATGAAACTTCCTGGCTAAATGCAATGTCCTGGGACCTGCCCGATCATGTACATTCATTTCATTTTTGTGGCATTTCTACAGATAGGTGCTCAGTAGATCTGCAGGATAAACTGGTCTAATGGCTTTTGGGAATGACACCTGGTGAAGTTCTCTCTCATGTCTGAGTTTTGGAATGTACCAGGAGCAGAGAGTTCTGGTCTGAAAGTCTGATGATTGAGCTACCTGCAAGTACGGTAAACAGTCCAAATCCCAAGTGGATGAGGTGAGCTCAGTCACCTACGCAGATTAGACCTTGGTGTTAGGTCTGAGGGGGACAGATTCTGGAAAATGGGACCATCTTCTGCAGCTCTGAATGTCACAGTGAGGATTCTGGCTTCTGGAACATGAATCCCCATCCATCCTGGAAAATGTAATGTCTTAATGATCTTAAGCTGGGTGTTCTAAGTGGGGCCAGTTTCCTTCTGTATCCCTCAAATAAGCCACTCTTGTTTGATTTACCCAAATAGTATCTGTGCTTTCCAGCAATCTGAGCCTTCTTTGGGTTGGGCAGGATCTGGGGTCAGCTTTGACTGGCCATGGGCCCCCAAATGGCAGTTTTCTCCTTCCTTCTTACCTGCTCCCTGTGGGTTGGCCTGTCTCTGCCTAGAAACCCTAGCTTTGGGGACTAGGGCCCTGACCCCCGCTGCCCAGGTCTTTTCCTCCAGAGAGCAGTCCCTGGATTGCCACACTGCCCAGCCTCTGGCTTAGGTTTGGATGTCCAAGAATGACTGCCAGAATCACCAAGTGTCTGACTCTTGATTTCGGCTTGGGTCATGATCTCAGGGTTGCAGGATTAAGCCCCATGTCGGGTCCACACTGGGTGTGGAGCCTGCTTGGGATTTTCTCTCTCCCTCTCCCTCTGCCCCTCCCCTCCCCCAATCATGGGCACACAGCCTCTCTCTAAGAAAGAAAGAGAGAGAGAGAGAGAAAGAAAGAAAGAAAGAAAGAAAGAAAGAAAGAAAGAAAGAAAGAAAGAAAGAAAAAGAAAAGGAAAGGCAGAGGAAGTATTCCAGACTGAAAGAGGCTAAAGAGACATGGCAACAAAATGCCAAATGTGGCCCTGGATTAGATCCCGAATTAGGGAGAAAATGGTGAACAAGGCCATTATTGGGATAACGGACAGATTTTGAATACAGCCTGAGTATTAGATAATAATATTGTGTCAAGGTTAAATTTCCTGATTTTTTATAATTGTTCTGTGGTTATGTGAGAGTGTTGTGTTTTAAGAAGGTATGTTAGAGAACATATTCTTAGGAAATATATACTGAGTATTTAGGCATAAAGGGGCATAATGTCTCCAACTTACTTTCAAATGCTTTAGAGGAAAAAGCACATGTGTAATAAATATATTTGGTTAGAGATGGGGGATGATAAAGCACTGGGGCAAAATGTAAACAGTTGGTGAATCTGGGTAAAGGGTATTCAGAGGTCTTTTCTGTTTTTGCAGTTTTACTCTAAGTTTGAGGTTGCATTAGAATAAGTTAAAAAATAAGCAAAGTAAGTAACCAAACAAAAACCACTTGGTGAATGTCGCTTGGGTCCCTTTCTTTGAGGATTGCTTTTTTTTTTTTTTTAAAGACTTTATTTGACAGAGAGAGAGCACACAAGCAGGATGGAGCCACCCAGGCGCTGAGGATTGCTCTTGAAGGAAACCCTAAGAGCCTTTGACAACTCAGGCCAAGATTATAGTTTAGTCAGGAAAATGTCCTTGAATTATCTCCCTACTTGTGGTTTTCAGAGTGCTGCCTTTCCCTCTTTCCTTGTCCCCAATTCACACTGTTTAGAGTTCCTCCTTCCATTTCCAGGGTCTAAAAGTAGTGTTTGCACTCTCTCCACATTTGGTATTTTGACTGCAGCTTTGGTTTGGTGTGCGGGTTCATCATTGCCATATTTGAGTCCTCGTTCTGCTACATCAGCTCTGCTCCTTATGCCTTCATCTTCATCTTGGGCCCTCTAGGTCAGCGATTCCTAAATGTGAGTGTACAGTAGAACCACCTGGAGGGTTTGTTAAAACTCAGAGGGCTGGGCCATCCTCCCGGAGCTCCTGAGTCAATAGGTCTGGGGCAGGGCCTGAGAATCTACATTTCTAACCAGTTCCAGGTGCCAGTGATGCTGCGGGAAGCATGCCCCATCCCACATAGAACCATACTACATGGCATTCACAGGTGTAGAGTCTCCCAGCATCAAGTTACTTTCTAGTGTGGATTTAAAGCTTCTCTTGAAGTTAGTAACAACTATTTGTTCATACCTTTCTATGGTGTTGATACCATCCATGAAGATTTCTTTTACAGGTTCCTCCTGATGTGCTCTTCTGAATTTCTAGTCTAACAGTTTTTAATTGGACCCAGTTCCCCCACCTCCATCTAAAAAATGTACTCACCCACTGTGCACATGTGTGCGTATGTGTGTGTGTGTGGGGGGGGTAGTTAGCTTGGTAGTACCATGGGTTTAGCTCCATGCCACCAAAATCTTAAATCTGTGTTTGTGGGGTGCTTTACTCTATGTTAACATAGATGGGAAAATACTTAGAGATGGAGGGTGGGGTGGAACGAGGAGGAATGATCATAAAACATGCCACTCTAGAAATATTTAACAGTAGACCAGAGCACATAGTCCCATAAAAATACTAGACTCTGCTCTATGATAAAATGTTCCTTCCTTCTGAGGAAGCC